AGAGTGATGTTTAACATTGAAGCCCACACAGAGGGAAACAGCCTAAAGAGAAGGACAGAGCTTTGAGTCCCCGGATCCAGCTATGCCTGAAACTAGACCCCTTAGCCTTTCTAGACATTCAAAAGAAATACATTCTACTTTTTGTTTAAGCTAGTTTGAATTGAACTTCTGCTAGTTTGAGTTGAATTTTATTTGCAGTGGAAAGAAGGCTGACTAATAGAGCCAGCATTTGAGACCTGGCATGATTTGTTCCCGGGCTAGTTTTCTGGCAGTGTCATCAGCACCACCACTGCCCCCACCTGCCAACAAGCTTCCCAGCCACAGGGACCTACACTTTTATGTCTCCAGCCATTAGAAGAGGAGCTATTCTCCAGTCTTTTCATATCTGCCTATTGAAGTCCTGACTATTCTCCAATGCCCAACTCCTCAAGATGTCTTCCCAGTCTCCTCAGACAGGATTAATATCCCTTGTCCCACCCTATTCTCCTAGTGTTGTGCCTGTGCCTTAATTGTAGTCCACACCACCTTGTAACACATCTGTTTGTTTATAGCTGCATGTCTTGCCCGCTAGAGTCCAGATTCCCAGAACCATCCCGGCCTGCCCTCACTCCCAACAAGCTATGCTACCTCTCAGCTCAAGACTTTTCGCATGCTGTTCCTTATGCCCCCATTCCATCTACTTAACAGCCACCGTATCTGCATCTCAGCTCCAAGATTACCTTCTCTGGGAAGCCTTCCCTGCTCCCCTTGCCCCCCCCACCAGCTGCATATACTGTAATGACTCTATGCCCCTTTCCTTCATGACATTTAGTACAGTATTTGTGTGATCATTTGTTGTGTTTCTATCACCCTTGCTAGACAGTAGACTCCACAACAGCAAAGACTGTACCCATTTTTCTCATCATTGCATCCCCAGGGCCTGGCACATAGTAAACACTCAATAAATAACAGTAAATATTTGCTGAATAAGTGAATGGAAGTCCCTTCCTCTTACTGTTAATAAAACTAATTCACAATCTCTCATGGTCTCTGAGTTTAATCCTTGGCAAATCAATGCAGTGAACAAAAGTAAGGAGAATATAGGGAAGGAGAGTGATAAGTAAGGAGAAAGTCACTGTAGGGAGTATGGCCAAGACTTCTTCATTTAGGAATAGAACCCTCCATTTTTTTAGCTGAGCACATGGTTGCCCAGAATAACACCTACATTTCCCAACCTCCTTTGCAGCTAGATGTGGCCATGTGACTAAGTCTTGGCCAATGAGGTATCAGCAGAGAGGTCCTGTGTGGCAGTTTCGGAAAGCCTTCCTTCAGTGGGAGATGATGTGCACTTGGAGTTCTTTATTCCTGCTGCTGGTCCATGAGCGTAGGTCATGAACAGCAGAGCCACAAGAGAGAAGGGTCCTGGGTCCCTGAGACCAATGAATATCACCCTGAACTGCCTGCACACATTCTTTTTTAAACCACTTGTGTGTGACCTCACGCTTGTCCATGGCCCTCTGACATCCTCAGTTCCTCATCTAATAAGTGAGGAGGGTGTCACCTATCTCCACCTACCCCATATGTGTGCAGGGAAAATCAAAGTTGCTGATGAATATGAAGTTCCTTGCAAGGTAAAAGATTTCAACAGCCAATACTTATTTAGTACTTAATTTATATATACTAACTCATTATAAAACAACACTATGGGGTGTGAAGCTCCCAGGTAACTGCCAACACACTACTGACCTCTTTTTTTTTTAATAATTGATTTTATTTTTGTTGTTGTTGAGAATATACACAGCAAAAACATACACCAATTCAAGTTTCTGCATGTACATTTCAGTGACATTGACCGTTTTCACCCTCCTTTTCTGAGTTGTTCCTCCCTCATTAACATAAACTCGCTGCCCCCTAAGGTTCCTGTCTAATATTTCTAGTTGCTGTTGTCAGTTTGATCCCATAGAGATAGATCTTAAAAGAGCGTAATGCTCAAGGCAGACATTCTTTACTAAAAGCTAAACAATTGTTGGTTTTTTAGAATTCGGGAGACCTGCTGGCCTCTTGATAGAACTAGATCCCCACCCTATAGTCCACAGCCCTCTCCTGGTTCTGATCAAAGCCTTCCCTCAGTCTTCACCCAATGTTTCTATTTCCCAGTAGTCCCACATTGTTCGACCAGAGTTATATGGACTCTGGGCAGCAGCAGGAATTTGGAGATATGTGAAGTAGGGTGGGGGTTACATAATTCCTCTAACTCTAGAAGTAGGCCCTTTAATCCTCAAGTTTGAGATTTGTCCCTAAGTATACATCTGTTGCAGCCCAGGCAAATGGCACTTGGAGGCCATTCAGACGGGGAGCAAAGAAGTTGTCTTGCAAAGGTAAGCAGTGCCCATTGGCCCCTTTCCCTTCCCCATGGAATTATGGAGATAGAGAAGCCTGATGGCTCCAGGGTTCCAGCATTATGAATCCACAGGGCTTACCCCTACTCTCTGGTCCAATTCAACAGGACAAAAGAGTATCCCTGAGACACTCTTCCAAGTGCTCCTGAAAAAGCCTAGGACATATTACTTCAGATCCAGGACCTATCTCCAGCCATGCTGATGCTCCCTAGAACATGTTTTCTCCAATGATACCTTCAGTTCCTTCTGTCTCAGTTGCTGGCAAAACTTCCTGAATGGGGAAAACCAGTTCATTCCACTTCTACTTTACATTTAGAAACATTAAAGAAATGCTTATGGGCTAAAAAAATAAAAAATAAAACACTATGGGGTATGTTGTTATTATCATCCTTGTTTCACAAATGAGGAAGCTAATACTGGAGGTTGAATGACTTGCCCAAGGTCACAGAGTCAACACGTGGCAGAGCCTGGCTCTGGACCAGTATAGCCTGGCTCCAGAATTGGGGCTTTTAACCACTATGCCAAATCTGCAGTTCCAAATGTGAGCAATTGCCATTCACAGCAATAATAATCCTGTTACTATACTTCCTTGCCCTGCCCAGGCTCTTCAGAGGCTGCTGGAGTAGACTCCTCCTGGTTCCTGCCTAGGTCAGTCCCGCATGGCGCCATCTGCTACATGAGCTGACATCACAGGTCTGGGCCAACCCTGAGGTTCCCAGGCTGTGAGGGCCTGTTTCCAGCCGTAGAGTTTGGCCGCCTGTTATTCATATGTCTGCTTCCTCTGACAAAGCTGGGGCCGCTCAGATTTGGGGATTAGACACAATGAAATGGGAGATTCGAGACAGGGGAGGAGTGGATCTTAGAACATGATCCTATGGTCAGAAGAAAGGAGTCACAACTGGGGCATCGGATGTGGAAAGCAGGGAAGGGGAAACAGTGGGGTTTGGCAGGAGGCCTGGAGGCCTGAACAGTGGCGGTCTGAAGAGCTAGCTCCCTGCACCTGCCACCAATGCCCAGACTTCGGGGCTAGACGTAAGAAGGAGCCATTACCCTGGACAGATTGACAAATTCTGACCACAAAGCCCCAGCCACTCCACAACTTGGGAGAAAGTCTGATGCCCAGGGTGGGGCCTGTGTCTCCCTCAAGTAGGATCCAGGCCTCTTATCTCTAACTCTCCTCCTTGGCCCCCCTAATCCCCAAGTCCAGCCTCCAGATAAGAGGCAGCTCAGGCGAAACCACTAGCCATCAGATTTAGTGGGCCCCAAGCCTGCTCAGCCCTGGCCAGACTGCCCAGCGGAGGAGACAGTGGACACAGGCCCTCTCCTGGGAAGACTCCAGTCAGGCAGAGTAGAGAATCCTCACACATGCCCCCACCATCACAATGGTTTCAGCAGTTACAAAGTCCATCCCCACCTAGGCAGAGAAGGTAGGGTTCATCCTCTGTTTTCAGAGGAGACTGAGGCTGAGGTCAGGGCCAAGACTCAAAATGGTGTGTGATCAAGGTGACTTAACAGCTCCCACATCTTGTAAAGCACTCTGCTCACTGCATTGTCATCTGTCAATATTTGGCTCCTCCAAGCAGAGACAGTCTCTGATTCATCTCTGAGTCCTCAGCTTGGAGGAGCACAGGGCTGGGCACCATCAAGGCACTTGGGGGGAGTCATGAGTGCTATGAAGGGCAGAGAAAAGAAAGGACTGGCTTAAGTGTTTGACCTGGGACTAGACCTCAGGTTTCCTGCCCTCAGCCCAGCATCCTTTGCGCTATTTCCCTCTGGCAGAGCAAATCCATTCTCATGATCTAAGACCACCCATCTCCCCCTCCCAAGGCCCTCTGCAGGGCTAAAGAGAAAGGGGAGAGAAGGGTGGAAGATCTGCGAGGGCTTCCCAGAGGAGACAGGAACTGCAGCCAGTTTTCCCTTTCCACATCAAACAATCGTGTTCCCCACTAGAGCAAATGCTTTTCAGCCACCAGAGGCCACCCCAGCCCAGTGGATCCTAGCTTCATTCCACTGGCTTCCTGCTCAAATCGGGGACGCCCCTATCACCACCAGGTGCATACAAGGTGGCCTATAGATGGCGCTTTTGTCTCCCCAAAAATCCCTGGGGCTGGAAGAGAGAGTGGGCACAGCACAGGGAAAGGAGAGAGGTAGAATGGAGGGAAGGAGTGGCGAATGGAGACAAGAAACCACTGGGCTTGGAAAGGTGCCTTTCAGGATGAAGGCTGTGGTTGTGGGGTTGTGGTGGGGGGCAGAGGGTTCGAGGGGATGGAATATTGAAGTGAACTGCAGAATTTTACTGATGTCTGGGGCTTTCGATCCAAGCTTCCACCTCCACTTGCCTCTTCCTTAGAGGAAAGAGAATGGCTTGGGAGTCAGGCAGACCTGGAGTCAAGCCTTGAATCAGTCACTCAGCAGCTTGACCTGGAGTAATTCACTTAACCTGTATGAGCCCCAATTTCCTTATCTATAAAGCAGAGCTAATAATTCTAATAAAGCCACCTTTGCATTCCAGGAATAAACTCTATCTGATTGTGTATTTTATGTAATATGCTACCAGGTTCAATTTGCTATTTGGTTAAGAAACTTTGCATTTGCTTTCATATATGAGATTGGTCTATATTTTGTGGGTACACCTCTTCCTTATCAGGTTTTGATAACCGAATTAAGTAGATAGGATTGGAGTGACTTCATTTTTTTCTGTGTTTCTTCTATACTAATAGATCTATTGAGATTTGTTACTCCTTAAATCAGTCAAGCCAGACCAGGGATGACTACCAGCCAAATGACCGCTCTAAGTTTTCAAGGTAGGCATGAGTCTATGGTTAAATGGGAAAGTTTGTAGCCTCTGTGGAATAGGAGAATTTTAGCCAAATGACTGATTCTTTCTAAGCTATGTATATCATCTTTTCTCCATCAGCCCTCCACATCCACCAAGCCAGCATCCTTTCTTGTCTGGACTACTGCAGTAGCCTCTTAACTAGTCTCCCCACCCTCCTCGAGGCCTCCTCTAACTCCATCTCCTTGGCTTATTTGGGGCTATGAAATTTCCTCTAAGCACAAGTTTGGCTACATCCTGTGAGTTTGTTATGTACTGTTCTCACCTTTATTAATTTATAAATAGTCTGTAATTTCAATTTTCCTCTAACCTACAAGTTATTTAGAGGAGCATTTTTTAATTTTCAAGTGTTTAGTTTGAAGGTGGTTTTGTTGAGATGATATTATTTCTTGAAATTATTCACTCCCCTCCTCCTTCACAGTAAGAGGCCACACACCCTGGTCCCTCCAAACGTGACTTTCCTTGTGTCCTGTGGAAGGAGCATACATCCTCACCTCATTGAGTTTGGGCTCGGCCTCGTGACGTGCTTTGGCCAAAAGAACGTGAGTGATGCATGCCACATCTGAGCAAAAGTTTTAAGAGGCATCGCAAGTTTCCCTCAGCTTTCCTGCTTTGGCTCTTCCCCAATACCACAAAAACAAGATGGTCCCTTCAGCCTGGGTCTTGAAACAAGAAGACCCATGAAGCAGAGCCACAACCTGGAATAGTGGCCCAGGCAACCTGCACCCTGCTTGTAATATGAGTGAGAAATAAAATTTTTTTGTGATATGCCACTGAGATTTTCTTTATTACCCCAGAAAAGCTGACTGAAATAGGTCAATTTTGTTTTGTTATTATTCTTTTATGAATAATTTCTATTTTTAATGCATTATGCTCAGAGAATATGACCTGTGAAAGTTCTTATCTTTAAAGTGAAATTTCAACTTATTGAGACTTCTTTTATAAATGTTTTTGTAAGTGTTCCATGGGTATTTAAAAGACTGTGAGATCTTATATTGTTAGGTACAAAGCTATATTATTAATTACATTATTAAAATCCTCTGTCTCAATACTTCTCAAACTAGGGTCCAAGGACATATTCTTATATATCCAGGAATCTAGAAAAAAATCTAATGTTGTGTTTTCACTGCAATAATAATATTAAAAACACTCATATAAGCATTTTCTAGATCACCTAGATGACTTCTTTATAACAGATACTTGATACTTAGAGTCTTCATTTGCATTTAATATCAGGAAACACTACTTTAATCTTGAGATGAGACAGAAAAAATGCAGACGTTATAAATAAATGCTGTGTTCAGGCCAGTTTGGGGGCATGGCCTCCTACATGAAGAAATGCTTGCAGTTCTTTCAAAAGAGAAAAGTGGTGGGTGAACTCAGTCATCACGTGGCTCAAGGCATGCCAAACCCCAACGACCTGCAGTGAAGTGGTCAGGGCCACGTTCATGGCGCAGGCGATTTAGTTTCAGCAAAACGGTATCTTCTTTTACATTTAATTCATGTTATGAATTTGAATTTTTATTTTGTAGCTCTGTTTGCATTTAATTTATAAAAGTTTTTGTTTTGTTCCATAAGACATATAAGCTTAAGGAATTTATATCTGCACATATTAAGTGACATCACAATAAAAATAATTTAAGTCAATACCGGGAGTCCACAGACTTTTTTTTTCTTTAAAAGGAGATCAGCCCTGGTGGTTAGGAGCTATGGCTGCTAACCAAAAGGTTGGCAGTTCAAATCCACCGGCCACTCCTTGGAAACCCTATAGGGCAGTTCTGCTCTGTCCTGTAGAGTCACTATGAATCGTAGTCGACTTGACGGCATGGGTTTGGTTTTGGTTTGGTATCTTGCAAAAATCAACGCCCGTGGAAGCAGCGGTCAGGAAATCAAACGACGTATTGCATTGGGCAAATCTGCTGCAAAAGACCTCTTTAATGTGTTGAAAAGTAGAGATGTCACTTTGAGGACTAAGGTGCACCTGACCCTAGCCATTGGTGTTTTCAGTCGCCTTGTATGTATGCAAAAGCTGGACAATGAATAAGGAAGACCAAAGAAGAATTGATGCCTTTGAATTACGGTGTTGGCAAAGAATATTGACTATACCGTGAACTGCCAAAAGAACGAACAAGTCTGTCTTGGAAGAAATACAGCCAGAGTGCTCCTTGAAAGTGAGGATGGCGAGACTTCGTCTCATGTACTTTGGACATGTTATCAGGAAGGGCCAGTCCCTAGAGAAGTCTATCTTGCTTGGTGAAGTAGAGGGTCAGTGAAAAAGAGGAAGACCCTCAATGAGATGATTGACACAGTGGCTGCAACAATGGGCTCAAGCATAACAACAATTGTGAGGATAGTCTCAGGATCAAGCAGTGTTTCATTCTGTTGTACATAGGTTGCTATGTGTCAGAACCGACTCGATGGCACATAACAACAGCAACAATCTTGCAAAATTCCCCCATTACTTCTGGCATCTCCCAGAGAGGTACTTCACATGGGGTCAGAACCAACACAGTCACTACAGTGGAGGGTCTTCCGTGTTCTTCATTTCTCCTTCTGCCTTTGCCAGTGAAGCCCACAACCCTGAGAGTTGCCCGAAGGAGCCTCCCTGTTTTCATGCTTGCCAGTGTCTCTGCCAACAATGTCGCTTTTGACGCTGGCTTCTTTATTGAGCTCGGTCCAGGAGGGCCTCTAACCAGCTCAGCACCATGCTGGGCCCAAAACTACCCTTCCTGTGCTCCAAATCCCCCTAAGTGAGGAAGCAGCCTCCCTCCCCAGACTTCTCCTCTCAGCTATTCCTCTCTTTTAAGGAACTCTCAACCATTCCCCTGGTCTCACCCTCCTGTCAAAACTTGTGCCCCTCCCATTTCTCTAATTCTGAGCCACCTTTCCAGCTTCCCAGTAATACATACTCAGAAAACAATCTCCTACTCTTCTCTTCACAGCCCCCTAAAATAAAAGTCTATAAAAACACAGCTTTGATCAATTGTTAGTAACCATTTCGTTGTCAAACTGCACCCTTAGCTTCTCATGCCGAAACAATAATCTTCATTTCAGATGCACAAAGTTTGAAAAAATTTAACCTTGACTAAAACCAGGGAATAACCCAAGAAAAGTGAAGATGTGGCATATAGGAAACAGAGGATCCAACACAGGACACAGATGAAGGGAATTCCCAAGATGACAGGGAAGGGAAATTTCATGGCCGCATCTGTGTGGCAGACAGGGATGGCAACCAGTCCAGCCTAGAAATGGAAGACAGAAGACTCCGAGAGAGATGCCCCAGGAAGGGAAACACACAAGAACCAAAAGCAATGATAAGTCTGACCTTATGCAAGATCATTCCACAGTACTATTGGAAGGTATGGGAAGATTTGGCCATAGGGACAAATGAAAAAACAAGGCAGTATTAACTCCAGGAAAAATCTAAGGTTGCACCAAAAAAAGGAATTGTAATCATAGTAACAATTAGCTTACCAGAAGACAATGTTTATATAATAATAATAATAATGTAAATGCTAAAAACTAACCGAAGTTGTAATACAACTGTATTAGTAGCTCAAGTGGGGATGGGAGGAGATGGAAATTTTAAAGGTAAATGATCATCTTTCATAATAGGATATGACAGAGGAGTATAAGCATGGAAATATGGAGGTATATTCTAAAAGAAACAAATATGAGTTGAAAGTAGATGTTTCTAAGGAATAAAGCAGGGGTCCTGAGAGTGGGGCAAGACACCATGATAAGCCCTTGACTGCTATTTCACTTGTTAGATTATGGGTTTATTTCAATTTAACAAGAATAAAAGTTAATTGTTAAAAATGTGTCTTCAGATTAAAGATGACTTCTAAGTTTCTACAAGAACATTTCTGAAGGGCCCATTCAGATTATTTTCTCAAAAAAAAGGGGGAGGGGAGAAGGAAATAATATTGAAACCTCACTTCTAGATAAAAAGTGCTTTGTGCTTCTTAAAGACAGTGTTGGATTAGGGATTTTGTTTTGTTTTTTCAGCTTCTACCAAAGTATCAAAATTCTTGTCCATATGTGGACATATAGCTTTCCACACTATAAACTCTTTGAGGACATAAACAGTCTCTTATTTATATCTGTACTGGCTGCAAAGTACAGCACAGGTCCTGGCACACAGTAAGCCCTTGATGGTGTCGAAAAAAGGAAAATTAAGGAGGTATTAAAAAATAAAATTGTTATGATTTTCAAGTTCAGCAGGGACCTTCCCAGTATTTGTCCTCTAAGTGTTCCAAGAACCCGGGGACACAGACCTGCAGGGCAGCAGCAGGAATGGAATTCAGAGCTCAAGAAGCACTTCCCAGCTTCAGCAGAGTGAGAAGCGTTCTCTTTCAGCCTGGAAATTTATCAGGTGGTACTCTGAGGCAGGAGGACAGGCTGTAGCACCATTTGGAGCAGAGGAAATCTTACACTTTTATCTTTGTGGAGCTCTAGTCCTTATGGATAACAATGGATAAGAAATTATGGATAATATTGCAAAGAATGGGTATTCCAGAACACTTAATTGTGCTCATGAGGAACCTGAACATAGATTAAGAGGCAGTTGTTCAGACAGAACAAGGGGATACTGCATGGTTTAAAGTTAGGAAAGGTGTGCGTCAGGATTGTATCCTTTCACCATACCTATTCAATCTGTATGCTGAGCAAATAATCTGAGAAGCTGGACTATGAAGAATGGGGCATCAGGATTGGAGGAAGACTCATTAACAACCTGCATCATGCAGATGACACAACCTTGCTTACTGAAAGTGAAGAAAACTTGAAGCACTTACTGATGAAGATCGAAGACCACAGCCTTCAGTATGGATTACACCTCAATATGAAGAAAACAAAAATGCTCACAACTGGACCAATAAGCAACATCATGATAAATGGAGAAAAGATTGAATTTGTAAAGGATTTCATTTTACTTGGATCCACAATCAACACCCATGGAAGCAGCAGTCAAGAAATCAAAAGATTCATTGCTTTGGGCAAATCTGCTGCAAAAGACCTCTTTAAAGTGTTGAAAAGCAAAGCTGTTACCTTGAAGACTAAGGTGCCTGACCCAAGCCATAGTATTTTCAATCACCTTATATGCATGGAAAAGCTGGACAATTAATAAGGAAGACTGAAAAAGAATTGACACCTTTGAATTGTGGTGTTGGTGAAGAATATTGAATATACCATGGACTGCCAAAAAGAATGAACAAATCTGTCTTGGAAGAAGTATAACCAGAATGCTCCTTAGAAGCAAGGATGGCGAGACTTCGTCTTACATACTTTGGACATGTTGTCAGGAGGCATCAGTCCCTGGAGAAGGACATCATGCTTGGTAAAGTAGAGGACCAGAGAAAAAGAGGAAGACCCTCAATGAGATGGATTGACACAGTGGCTGCAACAATGGGCTCAAGCATAACAACGATTGTGAGCGTGGCACAGGACCGAGCAGTGTTTCGTTCTGTAGTACATAGGGTTGCTGTGGGTCGGAACCAACTCGACAGCACCTAAAAACAACAGTCCTTAGAGCTGAGTCTTCTGCTACCTACTGGGCCTTGAGAGGGGCAATCTCTTCATCCTTCAAATGGGATAGCAGGTGAGAATGAATAAGAAGGTGACTTGAGGTCTTTACAAAGTACTATCAACTCAGTCATTATTCAGTGAGTCAGGCACAATATTAGATGCTGGGGATTCATTCAGTCAGTCAACAAATATAAGGGCAGGGCTGCAGGCAAATTAGATCTGATCCTTGCTCTAAGGAGTTAATAGCTGAGGTGAGAAGTGTCAGTCCAGGGCATTTGGTACCACACTGTGCACACACCCACTGCCCTACTTACAAAGAGGGCCTTCCCTTCTCAGATTTTCTGCACCTTTATCCTCTACGAGCCACCCACTCTCCACCCTCACCCTCCATCACCACCCCAGAGCTTCAAACTCTGATATCTAACAGAGGTGCATCAAGCATGCCCAACATAAAAGCCACATTCTTGAGACACGCTGGTCCCCTCCCCCCCACCGTCTTCTACCCCTAATCCAGGCTGGGCTAGACCCGGAGCCGTGAGGTAAGGGAGCTTGGAAAAGCCTAATGCTTGACGTTTGGGTCAGCACCAGAGAGCAGGACAAGGTCAAAGGCCAGCTCCCTCCTTTATATGAGAACCTCTGCTTGTTTGCTCAGTGCTGCCCTGTCCTTGGTGCTGGGGACAGTCATGAATCAGCTTGGGTCCCCAGTGCCCAGGCTAACAGTCCATCAGGGGAGGTAAGAAGGGTCACAGCTGACAGCACAGAGTCCAGCTCCAGAGGTTTTGAAGGGGACCTGGTACCACTCCAGTAGGGAGTTTCGACCTTTTACACTGAACCCCTAGCTTCCAGAATACTGTGCATACTAATCACCTGCAAATTTTGCTAAAATGCAGAACCTGATTCAGTAGGTCTGGGGTTGGCCTGAGATTCTGCATTTCTAACAAGCTCTCAGGTAATGTTGTAGTTTCGTGGATCACACTTTGAGTGCAAGGCTCTAGAACATTTAACTCATTTCTTTGAGGAGTGATGATTGGAGTAATGTCTCTTCCCTCCTGGCCCATAAACTCCATTAAGCAGGGATCTTCCCCTTCATTGACTAATGTATCCTCAGCGCCCAGCACACTGTGTGGCACATTCAGTAAGTACTTGTTGGAGTAATGAATCAGTGGGTCAATGCTCCTTTATCCATGAGAACTGGGGATAATCTCAAATAGCAGACAATCCCACGGCCCAAATACACACGCGTGCCAACACACACCCACCCCATCTCATCTTTACCAGGCTCTGGGATGCAGGTGATGGCATTTTACTAGGCCCACTATATGCACGGTGCTGGGGGAACCGTCTGCCTCTATGTCTCCCATCCAGGCTGCCTAAGTAAAGGCCTTGAGCCCAGAACATTCTCTGATTTGAAGGCTGGGAATTGGGTCACTCTTTCTCTCTCAGTTCCTTCGCCTTATTGGAGAGGCTTGCCCCCGTTCTGGGCACACGGTATCTTTCTCTTTCTCTTGCAGTGCATGGGCACCATATGGTACCTGCCCAACTCCACTTCTACATCTGTTCCAGGCATGGAGGGAATGAGGTCTTTCAACTACAGCGCTAGAGGAGTAGATGTAGAACATCTGCCCTACACAGGCCATAAGTGGAGATGGTCTTGCTGGCCATGGGAGACCGGTGCCCCCTGGAGAAGCTGATCTCGCTCCGTCTGTTCTCTATGTGAGTAAAGCTTTCCATGCACTAATAGAGCATATGTGGTCTGTGTCTTTTGTTGGTGACCTCGAACCCTGATATGACATATAGCCTCTGGGAGGCACAAATGGTTAAGCACTCAGCTACTAACTGAAGGGTTGGTGGTTCAAACCCACCGAGAGGTACCTTGGAAGAAAAGTCTGACAATCTGCTTCAGTAAGGTCACAGCGTTGAAAACCCTATGGAGTGCAGATCTACTCTGAAACACATGGGGCCTCCATGAGTTGGAACTGACTCGATGGCAACTGGTTTTTAGTTTTTTACTGTATGCACAGCTATGCACTATGCATTTTACTAGGCCTACTGTATGCATTTCCTAATTCTACTTTATGAACTTTTGCCTGGTGACTCCCAAGAAGGCTCACCCGTTGTGGCAAACTAAAATCCTGAATAAGGCTCATCCACTGTCTCCCCAGACCACTCCCCCAAATCACCAGCCAGCACACAAGCCCAAAGGGGGGGGGGTTTCTTTCTTCTTTTTCTTTTTTTTATTAAACCAACTTTAATTAAAAAATAAAATAAAATAGTCCAATGAGCCCTAAGTTTCCAGATGGTGGGGCTGGCAAAAAGGCCCAGTATCTCCCTGAAAGGTCAGGAGTCCTTGGTGCTATTTGAAAGCTGTCCTCAGGCCCTGGGAACTGGGCAGCTAGGTGTGTCTGTGTGGAAGGGAAGCTCTTGCCCAGTAAGAAACTGAGAACAGACAGGTATGTGGGGGCGGGGGGCAAACTTGTGGGGAAATGAAGGAAAGATAGTGAGGAAGTCATGAATCCAGGAGTCTGACTCAACTATGTTCACAGAGCCCCCTCCCCATTTCGCCCCTCCTTTGGCCTCATTCTTTTGGGTCTTTCCCAGACCCAGACCCAGCCTCATCCCTTCTCCCTCTGCATCTTGCCAATCCCTATCCCTGCCCCAGGCTCAATTATTCAGGGCAAAGGGTAGGGATTGGGGTGCGGGTGGGGGAGGACACAAATATATGAAGAAGGAAAGGGAGGCTTGGGGAGAAGTTAGTGGAGGCGTAAGTCCCGTAAGCTCTAATGTGTTATAAAAACGTGAGGGATTGTTGTTATGAGGCTGATGAAGTAAGGAGTCAGTTGAAGATTCGGTTTGAGATCGCAGTTCTGGCTTCTGAAGACTTGGAACTCACCAAGAAACCTGGGGTGGGGGTCCAGCTCCGGGACATGGAGCTCATAGTGCTGGGGAGTAGCGGGTGCACAGGTGGGAGCTCACAGTGGAAGGAGAAGAACTGAGGGCTCCCAAATGGGAGGGGTGCTTCAGTCCGTTGGAGAGATGGTGGGAGTCTTGCCAGGGCAGAGAAGGACTTAACAGGTGTGTTCAGTCCAAGTGGCAGAGATGAGGAGCTCAGAGGAGTGCTCCAAGCCAAGAGGGCAGAGATGGGTGGCGCTCCAGGCAGCGCTTCAGTCCTGGGGCGGGGGCGAGGGAGAACCCACAGGCGCGCACCAGCCCTTGGGAAAGAGGTTCACAGGTAGCGCTCCAGCCCCGGCGCGAAGCCCGGCTGCCTCAGGTAAGGCCCTCCCGGGCTGAGCGGGCCGAGCGCGGCCGCCGGCCCGGCCAAGGCCAACAGCGGCTCTGCGGGAAGCGGG